CAATTCTCTTATTGCATAATATTCCTTTTATTGAGGGGCGAATCACTTTCATCACTCCCTGATCAGTTTTTCATTTTTTGTTCAGGTCACGTTCGTATATCCGATCTCGGCCTAGCCCTCGAAATCGAGATCGGCACAATGGTCAAGGGCCGAGTTGGCACTGCTGGATACATGGGTACGTGCTGACCTTGATGTTTTAGAGCCATTACAGCACATAGTCGATTGTAGTTGACTTATTTTCAAATATTTTCATGATTTTCTTAATGTTATTGACTCAAACTATAAAATCTTACCATTTATATGATCTCCAGCGAGAGGCATCAGGACTAAATGCATTCATTGTTCGGCTCCAGCAAAAAGGGATGGATATCTTTCTAACGTATTTAAAATAAAGCATCATTCACGTCGCTTAACTCCTTGGAACGCCTTTCTTTCTGTCTCTGCTCTCATTTTGGTATACCCCTGCTAAACTTTCGTCTGTCTCTTAAATGACATGACTTGCACATTTTTTCGATAAAGTATGATTGACTTATGCAGCTGATTCGTAAGTATATGACTTTATTCATCTGAATTGAGAATAAATTGTGAGAAATTCAATAGTTTTAGCTACTATCAGTTTACTTATGTAAGAACGATGTTCACTATATATGCTCACGATGGATTTGATCTTAACATATCATTTGCTCTTACTCAAATTTTCCTCCCACAGAGTTATTTCATTACCTTCGAATCCCTTTTCCGACTTTGCTTTTGCCGCATAAGCACCCCAAACGGGATTCTAGCAGAAATATGAACGTAACGCAGCAACAACTTACCAATCTGTCCCATCCCCTTTCTATCATATGTCCCGCAAACTCCTCAAGTTTTGCACTAATAAAATCTTGCAGCCAGCTAGGTTCAGAACTTTGTATCCATTTATTTTGTAGCCTACTTATGTTAATTCAACTGTCCGATCATTTAATTACTGTGTGTGTGTGTGTGTGCGGAAAATACAGATCTGAATGATAGTTTTAACGCCTCCTTTTATCGTTACTATTTTTATGTTGATCTCGGATTATCTTCATTTTCTGATCAGATTAAAGCTTGTTTACGAAGAACATTAATTCCCAGAATATTGCTTAGCGCTATTATTATCCTTATTTAAGCTTTTCCTGTGGTTTTCGTCAATTGCAGTTTTAAGTCTTTGATAAAATCTTTTAGTTTTCGGTTAGTTATGGTAAGACAATTAACTTCTCATAGGAATGTAACTAAGTAGATGTGGTTCAGTGGGGATTTTCAGGTGGCAATATTTTGCAGAATATTTAAAAGCTGTCCTGTTCTATACTTTTGGAAATAATTTAGCAATCCTACCTAAACGCTATTGTATACAGGTCACCTTGCAACCATAAGCAGAGTTGCTTTGCATTGCATTTTTTTACCATCGGCCAATCGTCTCTCATTCCATAATATTTATATGTGAAAACCTTTTTATTTTATTCTGGAAGGACGTTAATTTTAGCATGGGTGAGTGCTTTTATGGTGCAATATGTTGGGCAAATTCTATGAAATTGGGATTTTTTACGACATCTCGTGTGAGTGGAATAAACCTTTGTAAGGTCTAGTTCTCATTTGTTAGATAGGTCGTGATTTCTATTTATTGCTTGTTGGGTATATAAAGACATAATCTTCCCTCTTACTTCGTCAATTCCAGGTTGGCATGCTATTTTGAAATATCTAAAATGAATCAAATGCATTTGTGTGATAGTTCATTTTTACACTGTATCTAACATACATTTTTAGTTCTTGTATTGCCTTATGGAATGTTTCTGATTCAATCTTGGCCGAGAATAATTCATTACACTTAGGTGCTCTGTCTTCTTTGCTAGATTCTTTTCCAGATGGTAATATTTATCTCTCGTTAATTATTTGACGACTATGTATCGATGATTAATCCAAAAAGTATCCTTATTCAGGATAGAAGGCAATTTTGACTTCTGCTATCAAGGAAAGGTTTATCTCAATAATCTATTTAAAACTTCGTCCATTTGGGGCCCGTACGCTTTTAAGGCAAGCTAGGCTTCAGTGATATTCATATTTGAGGGTTATTTTATCACTAAATCAGAGTATCAATTGAAATGCCGTGAGGTGTAGTCGTGCTCGACTGTTGAGCCCTGACAGTGTTCCTCCTCATTTGACATATTTACAGTTTCCATTACTCTATCAAGAAAGCTTTTCTAATGAATAATATCTCCTTTTTTTCTTGAAACATTTTTTTTCTTTGTCACTTGAACCTATTACGCTAACGACTATACGCCAGAAAGCTAATCTTCCAGCCGACCATGTGAATGATTTTTCAGTTTTATTGCATACTGGACCTTTATTGCGACTATTTTGTTATGTAATTCATGCCATGTTTATCTCCAAAGGGCGTAACGTCTTTGGTTTCCATCAATTTGCATTTCAGCTAATGCTCTCATGTCTTGCTCTCGTCCAGCTGATAATTCTGAAGACACTCAGACTTGGTTGGAAAGTTTCTAGTAAATGATACTCTAATTCTTTGATCGAGTGGTCTCATTCTATTTTTGCTATTTCAGTTGGCAAGGCAGAGTACTTTACAGCCGGTTCAGATTCACATAACAGATCTTTTTACTACTTATCTCTACGTTCTTAAAGTTTTCTCACGTTTCAGGTTTTTCATAGAATTTTTATACTTTCCCGAGTCGGTTGGCCGTACTGACAGCCAAAATTTGGTTATGTACTTCTTTCTACTTCTAATTTCTACTTTAGCATCTCAAGTGTAGCTGTTTTAATTACAATTTCATACATGGGCTTGATTCACTGGTAACTATTCAAATAAAACCTGTCATTTAACTCTAACACATGATCGTTCTTCGATGTCCTTCAAGGTGATGCTGAAACTGCAATCCTGACAGGGCGGCAAGGCTTTCTGAGGTGTCAGCCTTGGTGAAATTCAGCCCTTCTTCTACTAAAAGCTTGGACGGTAGAAGTATTCTTTGACTCTCATCCGTATTTATAAACTTCGTTTTGTTTTCTCAATTGTTTTTCTTTTATGTGCTCATCTATTTAGGTGCTTTTTTAATTTGCTGTAATTGACAATGATTACTCCTTATTCTTTGTTGGGTTGGAGCTTATAAGGGTTGAAGTTTATCGCATAGCATACCTTTGAAATCATCATTTGCTGGATGATCTTTATCAGATCAACAAGTGTTTGAAGAGCATTCTTTTCTAAAATATCACCTGGGGCTAGGCATGCTTTAAAACCAGTTGGTTTGGTTCCTAATTAGCTGCTTTAGTATACTTACTGTGCCGGCACCTATTCTGTATTGTTCATTACTGAGCAAGAAACAAAATGCTCATGAATGCTTCCTTTATTATTATTATTGGGTCCGTGACTAAGAACCATCCTATATTTTAACGGCTTATGGAAGGAAGGACTGCGACCACACAAAATACCACACCATCTTGGTTTTCATACCTTCGATTAAAAATTATGCAATGAAGGTTTTAGAAAGCCAACCTTCTGAAGCAAATTGCATTACTCAATTGCTGCTTAGATAAGATTTGTATCATTTAAAGTTCGAGCTGAATTCATGCATCTTTTGTTGAATGTCATTTTTTGTAAAATAGGTTTTGGTTTTGATTTAGATTTTCGCTTGACTTTGCATCCGCTGACATTGGTCATTTAAGTATAGAGTTAAATGAGAAATTAAAAAGTTTTCCTCATTCTCTACACCACGGATATGAGTTGATTGAGGCATAAAATCTCTTAAAAGCTATACTTTTTCTTTTGAACCAGTGAACTGTTGAGTTATAATGACTTGAAAATGCTCTTGCCTTCTTCCTGACTAGCCACAAAAAAGCGGCCTATTCTGTCGATCTGCTGCGTTTTATCTGTAGCTCATATTAGTCTTAAGTACAGCACAGAGGCGTTGGAAAATTCTCCCGAGTTTCAGCTGTTTTTATTTCTGATATATGCCAGAGTTTGTTTTGCTCTTTAGCCTCACGAGCTGCTTAAATGTTAGCCACTTTTGGTTATTCACAGGTTTGGCGCCACAACTGAGTAGTGGAAAGCTGTGGGTCATCAATGCTTTAGATAATTAATTATTTTATATTCGTAAGAAAGTAGGGTTTCGAGACTACCAGTAAATCAGTGTAATGAGATGTATTCACCCTA